AAAAATTAGTGGAGGGTATTGATTTACTAAGATGGCAGAGACTTAAGGTAGTAATTCTTTGCAAACAACTGGCATTAGAACTTAGACATATTAATTTAACCTCTCTGGAACTCAATTGCCCACCTTATGTTTTGCTCAAGGATGTTTTGAAGATAATAAAATATGTATGAATATGTTACTGTAACCTAGCAAATTACATTTTATCTCTCTTAGTTCTTTGATCAAGCTAGTATAGATTGTAATAACAGCAAGTATTCATAGGCTTTTATTGTTTCTTAAGCTATGAGTTTTAGATAAATCTCCTGATATAGTTTTCATTGAACCATTCTATGATAAGACAGTTTTGTTCCCATTTTACAGATGAAGAAATCAAGGTTGTTTGAGACCAACTGAGACAAGAACTTACCTAGGTTATTACACTGATGCTTTGTAAAAAAAGAAATGAAAACTCAGTTGTTTGATTGCTAAGTTCATGATCTTCCTTCTATGTTATCCTCTGGTGTTAGCAAGGGAATAATATGTCATTCAGTCCTCACTTACTCATATTATTTAAATACATGGTTGCAAGTCACTTGTATATAGTACACATCAAAATCCCTACTCCTGATCCCTTTACTGCCAAAACATCTAATTAATTTGTGCACAAAAATACAAATGATCTGCAAATTAAGAAGTACTGGGTTAGCTTCTTTATCAAGCCTTTGCCATATGACATTATTTACTTAAATGAATGCATATTAATAATTACTACATTCCAGAAGCAATTCAAGCTCAGAATCTGGAGTTAGAATCTGGGATACAGCCCAGCTCCAATACTTGGAAAGTTTGTCCAAGTCAGTTAACTGATAAGTTAGTACTCTTATCAGTAATTTAGAAAAATATATTTTCTTAGGGCTAATTTGAGAATTATAAAACTATGTACAGTTTAAAACAGTGTCAAATATATAGTAGATGCAACCCAAGTATCATCTCCTCCTCATGTACATCAATAGATTGAGATCTGCCTTTATGGTATGAGCATAATAAGCATATCCCTTTATACAAATCCCATTCTTAACTTCCTATAAATAGCAGTACTGTTGCCTACATTCACCTGAAAGGCAAATAATTTATATTATGAAATTATAATATTAGAGACCTATCCTTTTTTCCTTAAGAATTTTCAATATTCCAGAGGGTTTAACAGTAAGATTGCTAGGAGCTAAGTTACATATGAAATTTCTAATAGTCTTATTTTAGACAAAGGTGTATAGGAAAGAGAAAGTGCATGAAGACAAGGAATAATTAAAAGGCCAGGGTCAGGAGGAGCTCAATGTAATAGGGAGGGACCGCATCAAAACTCACCCTACTTTTTCTAGGAATTTGTCTCTGGTTAGTCTTAGTGGTGTAACAAGATCCATGGTCATGTCATGTGTCATAATTTCCATACAGAGGCACAGGTATCTGGTTCTACAATCTGTCCCTCTTTCTTGAGCTCCAGATTCTGGCACCCAAACTCTTCCTAGAAGTCTTTCATGGTCATCAGATTGCACAAGTTCAAACATGAACTAGTTACACTCATCCTCAAACATGATCCCCCATCTGTGTTCCTCCCTCAGAGTATAATGCCATTGTCCCCTAAAACGTGAGTCAGAAATCTGGATGTCACTTGAACCTCTCTCCAAGCCCCTTCTGTTTTTCATAAATTTTTATTTTTATAAAAGATCTTTCTTTTTAATCTCCTTAGATCCATTCTTACATTTCTCCATTGATTCAGAAACTCCAGATATCATCTTTTGATTATTGCAATTGATTGTAACCTCTTCTGCCGAGCAGCCATATCAGCCTTCCTCTTTCTCATCAAAGTAGTCTTTCCTAGTGTGAAGATAATTCTTTTCATGTCCCTATTTACACACTGTGCAATTTTTTAAGTACTTTCAAAGAAACTATACTTTTAGAACAGTGGTAGATTCATAGTAACGTTGAGTGGGTGGTAAGATATTATCCATATACTCCCTGTCCTTATACGTGCCTGGTCTCCCACATTATCCACAGCCTCACCAGAATGGCACATTTGGTACCATTGATGAACAATGATTATTGTCATATTATTACCACTCAAGGTTCACATTAGAAACAGGTTTGCAGATGAAATGTTTAGACTGAGTACTGTAACCTCATCCTTGGATTAATCCACTTGATAGGTTAATGATTTTAATGGATTACAGGGTAATAACTGTAGGCAGGTGGAGTGTGGCTGGTGGAGGTGGGTCACTGGAGACATGCCCTTGGGGATTATGTTTTGTCTCTGGCTCCTTGTGTTCTCTCTCTCTCTCTCTCTCTCTCTGTGTGTGTGTGTGTGTGTGTGTGTGTGTGTGTGTACCTGGCTATCGAGCTGAATACCTGCCATGCCCTCCTCCTATGATGTTCTGCCTCACATCAGCCACAGAGCAATTGAATCTGCTGACCATGGACTGAACCTCTTAAACCATGAGCCAAAATACACTTTTCCTCCTCTGGGGAAAAAAAGAGAGAAAGAAACAAGTTTGCACAAATATACAATGACAGTTATTATACTATACATAGAAAATTTTACTACCATAATAAACTTCTATTTTTTTAAATCCTGGAAACCACTGATTTTTTTTTCTTTACTGTTTCCATAGTTTTGCTTTTCCAAGAGTGTCATTTGGTTGAAATCATAGAGTATAAAGTCTTTTAATATTGGTTTGGTTCACTTAATGATGTACATTTGAATTTTATCCATGCCGTTTTGTGGGTTGATAGCTTATTTCTTTCTCATGCTGAAAAACACTCCATTGTCAGTGAATACCACATTTTATATGCCCATTCACATGCTGAAGGACATCTTGATTTCTTCCAAGTTTTGGCATTTATGAATAGATGTTATAAACATCCTTTTGCAGGCTTTTTACACTGAATAATTATGGATTTGAAATGCCATAACATTGATGGCACTGTTCCCCAAAAGCTCTAACTTGACTGCCTACTACACCTTGGCTCTCAGTGTAACCCATCAACTGTACTCATTTAGTTCCCAGTCTTCAAAGTGCTCCTTACCTCTGACCTTCTGTGCAGTCTGTACCCGACCCTGAGGATTGCTTAGACTCCATTCTCTGTAGCCCTACTTCCTTCTAGTTTTTGGTATTTGGCCCAGGAGATTTTTTTTATTTTTATTTTTTTATTTTTTTTTTTAGAAATCTAGAAACCCAATTCACTAGTATTTTTGGTTTTTTTGGGGTCCAATCTCCTATTGAGTCACAAAGCTTCTTGTGGGCAGAGATAAAGGATGACTGCACTGTGTATCCCACACATCCAATACACTGTCAAGCTTAGAACAGAATTTGACTAATGAATAAATGGATAACATGTGAGAATGAGCTGGTTTAAACTATATCATAGACCCAAGAGTTACTTAAGTTAAGCTGATTGTGTATTTCCTGACAAGGACATTTTAAGACAGGCAAGGTAATCTCTCCTGAAGAGTAAATAGACCATATCATGTATATTGAATGTAATTCCATATCTCTTTACAGACAGAAGAGAAAGATAAGAAAATGATGTGCTGGTGAAGAGGAGTGCATCAAAAAATATCCAAGAGGCAGCTTCATATAACCTGTTTTCTATTCTTGCCTGAGCTATTTATGACTTTAGAATACCTCACTAGTCATCAAGACCTTTGTTTTAAAAAAGTGGGGTGAGCTCAGCTCAGTTGCTTCCACATACTTTGTGGCTCTACAGTTCTATGAATTGTTGGCAAAAATTATATAATCGTGTCATGGTTTGAGTTTCATCTTGATTTACTACATCTCTATAACTTGACTCTTTGAGTTTACAACAGGTCTTAAAATACAATTTCAAGACATGCTGTGATGCTGGAGAACATGGCCTTTGGGGATTAAAATAGAAGTCAATTCATTGAACATTTATTGGGTACTTAGTAGGAGCACCATAGTGTTTTAAGTGTAGTGAACATTGCAAAAATAAGATGAAACCCCAGTCATAAATGGTTTTAAAATCTAACTGAGGAAGTAAAATTAAAAACAAGAAAGGGAAGAGGAAGATGTTCTAAGACATTGACCTTCCTCGATGGCTATAAAATACCCAGACACACACAAGATGCCAGGGAATGTGGAGGGAAGCCTGAAAGCAACATGAATTTAGTTGGGTCTTTGTCACCCACCAGGAGTGATAGCAAGGAAAAGAACAGGTCAGAATCAGGCACAAAGACAAAAATGGACATGCCAAGTATACACTGGGTATCAGAAGGCAAATGGAAGATGGGATTTGGAGCACAGTGTGCAACGGATCTGACCTGAGGTAGAGTCACCACAGGGAAACTGAGATGGAAGCAGGGACTAGATGTGCAGGCAGCTGAGGTTTGAACAAGGGTGGAAAACAATAGGGCACAGAGACCCCCAGGTCTGAACAGGACACCACAGGGAAATGAGGCTGTGGCTCAAGAGATGGGAATAAAAAGTAGGGACTTTTCAGGTAAGTGCCCATGACATACATGCCCAGGGTCAGTTCAGAATGGCAGTCTTCCTGAACGACTGTCTTCCTTAGAAACCACAAATCAGAACAAATCCTCATTTAAACAATATGAACTAGACTTGTGTTTTGGTTTTGTTTTGACATATCATGTCCAGTGCTTCACATGCTCATTTAATCCTTACTGTCTGCTTGGATCTATGTTTGTAAATCTGTAAACAAAATATTCCCACCTCTCTGAACACTTCTGCCTCTTTCTATGTAAATTTTGGCACTGCACCCCTTGTTTTTCTGGATGCTTTTATGTTCTCAACCCAAGGACCCTTCTTGTGTTCTTTCTTTATTCTGGAAACTCTCTGCTCAGCATGCATCTTTTCTTTAAGGCAAGGGAATATATGGGTGCTATTTATTTTGCTTCTTTGTAGCCCAGATATCTGGGAACTACCTGAAAAAAAAAATTCAAACCAAATGAAGCACTCAACTGTCTGTGGTTATAATGATTTACTTACCCACTAAAATGTAGATTTTTCTAAATTAGATTCATTTAAATTGTCTTGTCTGTCATCCCTGTTAGGAAACATGAAGGTTTTCTTTCTGGTGGATGAAAGAGCTGAGACTCAATTTGCAGCCTGTTTATTCTCTTTCTTCATCTCTCTGTCCCTATCTCCTCCACACCCACACAACTCTGCTCACTCTAACACACTCACGTGTTGTCACAGGAAGATGGCCCAGTCCCAGCTAATAGAGACCTTGGAGTGAGGGCTATGCAGCTTCCGCTCCAGATTAATGAGCTACTTGACTAGGACATGATGTCGGCTTAACAGCAGTTTTCCTCAAATGTGGTGTGATCAGGAATTTGCAGAAGTTTATTCTTAGCTCTTTCTTTTGGCTTCAGCAACATGTTAACAGCTTGTGCATTTTGTAATGCCTTTTTTCATTGCCATGGTAACCATTAAAACTTAAGGTATATGTGGCTCCAGATCTAGCTAAGCTATTGGTTGCTGGTGAGCTGGAAGTCAGTGCAGATGAAAACCACAGTGAGGCGGCTGCTTGGCACAGGTGTGCCTTGCTTTAACCTCGCATTCGAGATTCCAGGATAACAAGGTATTAGGAAATGATTATTCACTTCAGGAGGAATTGCTAACATAATTCGTTTTAAAAAATTATTTTTATTGTTTTAAAATAGGATTATTTTGACCACATGTTGATTTGCAGGATACTCTCAGGAGCCAACAAGCAACCCTGAGTTATTGAAGCCTAGAGCAGAAACAATAGTTTGATTTTAAAGCCAGGTTGATTTACCAGACATGAGCTCTACCTAGATCTCCCTCAATTTTCAATTTTATTACCTTTGAAGTATTGTTTGATCTCCTCTGTCAATAAAGATATGATAATTATTACCAAATTGTTCAATTTGCCTATGCTAAAAAAATCCAGGCATGTTTGCCAGGGAAAACAAAATAGCAAGCTAACAAGCCCAACAAGAACAACAGCAAAAAAAAAAAAAAAAAAAATGACCATCACAACTATGAAAAGGATAATGACTGTTTAGTATAGCTTGTTCCAAATTTGATTTCATGAGTGTTTATTCTCTTCAGTGCAGTGGTGTGGTGTTGCAGGAGGTACGAAAAGCTTTGGATGCAAGTTTCTATTTCTCAAAGAATTTGGCCATCTATTTGAAAATAAAACTTGCATAGAGAAAGTAGAAATAATAAAATTAGACATTAAAGTAAATTGGCCCTGTGAGTTTAGAAAGTGTAGAAATCATTGTGACCTTGAAAGTTAGGGGCATCTGCATGTAGACTGTAAAACATCGGTTCCATGTTGAAAGATAAGGCAAAAGCTGGCTAGCCAGAGAGGAGGACTGGGATATTTCTTAAGACATATTCTTTTCATAATAGAACTCATTAGTATAATTAATTTGGTTGCTTGAAAATGTAGGACAGATATGAATATGAATGCTGGATAAGAAAATAGTTTATCCTTAAGGGAAGATAACATTTTGTTTAAAACAATGAAATTTCTTAGAAAACATGAGAATATTTCCTGACAGTTCAAATGAAGGCCTTTTCCTGTCTAATATGAAGATGAAAAATTCGTATGAAACATATCACAAAATTTGGCGTACTCTTAAGGCAGAGAAAAATATTTATTTAAAAATATAATGGCTTGCTAGAACTTGCAGGTATCATGATAGTATCACCCAAGCCAGAGAAGTATATTTTGAATTTTAGAGGCCATTTTTCTTCTTCTTCTCACCCAATTTAGCTGTAGTGATTAAAATCAGAGCGAGCGGTGGCCATAGACAAAATACAGACATAAGTACTTATATCCATCAGTTTAATCAAAATATATCTCAAAGAATTTCCTCTTCATTGTTGCCTCTTATAAAGATAGCCTTTAACATCACCTGTTTCCCTTCCCAATCACTGGCAGGTGTTTATTTGATCAAAATTCTCTTCCATAACAAGCACCCAAAGACATCATTGTACTAAAGTCTTTCTAGATTCTGAAACTGGAAGGACTGGTCCTGGATTTTATTATCTTTACTAAAAAGTAGGATAGATTTCAACATTTTATTTGCAGGTTTCAAGATTTTTCCAATGGATCAGGACATTTCCTGCTTCCGAAGTCTCTGTCTCACCAGTCGTTCATACCTATACAGCTTGAGTTCATCTCCCCAGCCCCAACTCAAACTGGTGGTTATACACAAACAAGAAGAAGTTAGTTAAAGAAAGGGCTGATTATGTAAGAGGTAAAGAAAGTGAAATACAGTGCATGATTAAATGAATAAGAAAAGTTTTTTACAGCTCTGTTTCTGTCATACTGTGATTCGATAAAACTGACCCCAAATAGGCAATCATCCACACAGCTGTTATGAACACCAGGACAAAGGACACAGCATTGCACACACACACACTCACACCTGCACACATTTCCACCTTTTATCTTCTGCTCTAATATGTAATCGTACCTCAAGAGCATTTGTTTTCTAAGCTTACTGTATTTATTTCTGGGAAAATATTACTATCATTATGAGGTTAGGGAGTCACTCTCAAAATGTCATCAGTCATTAGTACTTCAGAGTGAGTACATTATCATCAGTCAGAAACAGTTTCATTGGCTGAAACTTCACAAAGATCGGGGGACACTTGGGGTTCTACAGGAGTGGGAGTAAGCACTCTTAAGTGAGCAGAGAACTTACTTGTGGGATAAAGGCAAATGTGTCATTTGTTTGGGAGTCTGGAGAACTAGATTTTTATCCTGGCTTTAAATGGCAGAACCGGTTTGGTCAAACTTGCTAATGATCTTTATTTTTTTTTATTTTTATTTTTTTTTTATTGTTGGTCGTTCAAAACATTACACAGTTCTTAATACATCATCTTTCACAGTTTGATTCAAGTGGGTTATGAACTCCCAACTTTACCCCGTATACA